GCGGCGATATGTTTATATGCTTTCTGCTGCAGAAATGACGAAGGCAGAAAAATAATAATTAAAGTCGTGCATGAACAGGCGGACACTACACACTGCCGTCTCACTATACTTCTTTCTCGCACTGTTCAATCTGAGTGACTCAGTGTGGTCAAACGGAAAACGGCCAGCGAACGGCGCGACCTCCGTCGAGTCATCGCCGGCCGGTTACACCCAGTAGTCGCTTTCGAATTATTTATTAAAGGGTGCGTTCTTTGAAGAAAAAAGACGACCATGTTAATTTGCGGATATTCTTTGCAATGCCAATGGAATGACGATGATGTGGCTTATTGATAGTTACCTTCTGCAGAGTTCAGCCGCCTTCTCCCACGAATGTCGAATGGTAAAGAATTTGTAGCAGTGCAGCCCACGCAGCTCCCAGCCTGCAACAACGAAAATAACAACATCCATGACATTTCACAGTAGTACAAGCGAGAAAGAGGTACATCATCAGGGGCGAGAGAGATGGAGACAGAGGGAGAGAGACAGAAGAAACCGAGGAAGAGAGTTTGACGCGCGCGGAACTGCTTGTTCTACTCATCGTAATTCGTCTTGGAGAAGAGAGAGAGAGAGAGAGAGAGAGAGAGATCGTGACGGTACGATGGTGCGTGGTGCGGGTGCGAGAGAGACAGCACGATGGTCCGAGGGGACGGCCAGGCCCAGCAACGCACCGGGGAAAGTCCTCCCCCCCCCTTTTCCTTTACCTCACTGTGTGTTACCGTCATTCAGGGCCTTCTGCTGCTGCTGCATTCATCTTTCTTTTACGCATTAAAGAAACGCATTAAAACACGATCCTCATTTCATTCAGAAATTCAAACGCGTAACAAAGTCGAGGCGGGCGGTCGACAGGAAACCTTCTTCCTTCTGCCCCCTTCGGTGGTGCGGTGAAGATTATTCCAAACAATATTTCAAACCGACCATTACAATACCACAATGCATCAACACTTCTCGGCTCATTGGATCGTCTCGCGTTACGGCTACTATATTCCATTTGGGGGATGCCGGGGACACACGCGTAACTGTCCTTGAGGTAGCTTACTTATATTCTATACCACCGTCCAAAGGCGGGGCGGCAGCGGCGGCTCTGTGGGACAGCCACTCACACACGCACACACACACACACTCACAGAGAGGGAGAGAGAGACATGCCCTTGCGTGTCATTAAAATGTAAATAGGTGAAAGTCAAATGTAAAGAGGGCTATGCGGTCCCTGTATGTGTATGTGCGTGTGTACCGATATACTCGTACTCGTGTGTGTGTGTGTGTGTACTAGTACTGCTGTGGCACACACACACAAAACTTACGGTCGCATTGGACATGCGCGGCACCCACACTCACTACTCACAGCAATATTAATAATAATGACGATATGTACAAGGGCTAGGGGTCATGTATGACTCACACACACATACACACATACACAGTATAAATTCCCATTCACGCACAGGGGGTGGCGAAACGCGGCGACACGCCGCCAGAGAGGAACAACGGGTGTGCTTGAGGTGGGTGGGCCCCCCGCCGCCGCCCAGCCCGCGCGCGGCCCGTCCCGTGTGCTCCACGCCCGCGATACGCCCGGCGAGACCACATGCGCAAGGTCGGCCCGCTCTGCTGTAGCGCCACGCCACGCCACGCCTCGCCGGTCTGATTAGAAGGGATCCGACTTGGCAATTTGCCCGGCATGCCGGTGCGGCGTGGCGTGGCGCGGCGAGGTGGTCGAACAGGGTTCGAGTCCTCCACAAGAGGGGCTCCCTCCTCCTCGCCGCGCCCGCCAACGGTGCGCGCGGAATCCGTTAGGACCTGATCGGCGGCGCGGCGGAGGCGCTGCCCGGCGGTGGAGCCGGCGCGACGCACGCGGCTCCGCTGTGGAGGCTGCCTACCCGCGGGGCGCCCGCCCGCCCGAGCCTGGGCCGCCCGCTCCACCGGGGTGCGGTAGGGTTGCCTACCCACACGGCGCCCGCCCGCCAGAGGTAGCCTAGGCCGCCCGCTCCACCGGGGCGCGGCGGAGTTGCCTACCCACACGGCGCCCGCCCGCCAGAGCTAGCCTGGGCCGCCCGCTCCACCGGAGTGCGGTAGGGTTGCCTACCCACACGGCGCCCGCC